AATGGATCACTACTCTGTGATGTAAATACTTTGACCAAATTCCGCCACATTGTTAAGGATATACTCGGAATGTATTGTGGATTATCCATTGAAAAAAACCCGTCACGTTACTGCAAGTCTTTAGATGGAAATATATTCACGAGCCTTCACAAAGCAACCTGTGCATTATAATCATGCAAACAGTCCGCATTCCTGTAATTACACGTCAATGATATATAGCTTGAAAAAATAACATTCAGGAATATGATATGAATAAAAAAAAAACATTCAGATAAGATGACAGGCTCTAAACAAACCCAAACAAAAGGGAACGTGATTATGGAGCTCTATAACATGACCACAGGGATGTTTAAGACAAGACAAACATACTCAGATGCAACACACACAAACGTTAGCCACTTTCACTTGTTAAAAGCTTGGAATAATGTTACACATTTTTGGTGCGGAAATTATCAACATTACTTTGAAAAGGGCAACCATGTGAATGCCGTTAGTTACATCATACCCATAGAAACGTGACAGTAAACAATTGCACATGTTAAGACGTACGAAAAGCAAAACCGTAGGCATGATGGCGCATGGGTGTATCATTCGTTGGGTGTACCGTTCGGTGTTACGTTTCCAAAAATGATTTGCGTGCAACTTGAGCCGTCTAAACACGCGCACGCACTCGTTTAACCGCAGTGCACAGCTTCAGATGTCGCGATCGAATTCACATTTACGGGCATCAGATGCAAAGTAAATAACTCCGACTCCACATCTGTGAACTGCCCTCAAAAGTCCAGAAGCCACAACGCTTCAAAAAGTAAGGGGTAGAAGCGTGACAAGTTTTGTCCCAGGGCGCCAGCATCTAGATACTCACACAGAGGGTCTCTCCCTCTCTCTCTCTCTCTCCCTGCATTCGTGAGGCCCTTTAAAAGTGTTTGAAGATGGCCCGATTGCACGTGCTAAAATGCGTGCGGGACTTTTGGTCGTGTGCAATTGGGCCCGTTGAATATTTAGCAAAGGTTCGCGGATGAATTACACCGGTTAGCAATTTTTTTGTGTTCACTGCGTTCGAGTAAAGCCACACGTGTACTGCACACGTATTGGGGTTGTGCTGTGATGGGCATTATAAGCGGTGTCGACAGGGAAAATAAAAATAACATGTATGTTACATGAAGCTTATGCTAGATGATGACCAGAGAACACACTTTTATTGTAGCTGGGAATGTGTCTTCGTAAGGCATTCATTTGAATAAAGGCATGTAATATAAGTATAAGGGGCATTGTAACTATTCCATAGATTTCGGATATTCTCCATCTGTAATTATTGAGGAAAACAATGAAGGGAAAAAACAACTTTGGGCAGGAAAAATATTAATACCTAGACTCGCTGAAGGGACAATGCCACCTTTTCAATATGCATCGTGAGAGAGCTCACGCTTTTCCCTAATCCAATGTGATCTCAATGCAACGCAGACTCGAATCCTGAGGAAACGGAAAATGGTGACATTTCTCGGAAGACGCCGGCAGAACCTGGAGCGGCGCAGCTGCACCAGACCGTGCGTACTTCTTGTGTGCCAGAGGGCCTTTGGGCGAAATATGGCAGGGGCCTAATGTTTTGAAGCGATAGGCTTCGCGCGTGAGTGTGTAAATAAATATAAAAATGGCTAGAGAGAAGAAAAAAATCCGATTCAAATGGAAACTTTCAAGTAAAAAAGCAGAGTTGCAAGAATATTTAACAAACTGTCATACCACCTATGTAATTATATAAGTTAATAAATATTCCCATTAACTATCAATTAATTAAGCGTAATGTACCTCCTCAATGAATCTGGATCGTGAATTTGTTGGCACATCCGTCTTACTCTGTGGGAAACGTGACGTTTACTGAAATGCATGCAAAATAAACGGCAGCAGAGATGGCCTTCCTGCTCGGAAGCCAAGGGGTTGGATGTTGCTGGTACACGACTGCAGGGCATCAGACTCAGGTTTGATAGCCGAGGCCCTCAGAAGTGGAATAGCTGCTATGCACTGGAGCTATGACTTTAGTCTGACCACACCTAAATGTGAGTGTAGCCAAAAACCATGAATCAAGGCCCAATCACTGAAGCGTTTTGACACGCAGAGAAGTGGAAATAAATACCAGCCCATATGGTTTTATTTAAGATGGGTTTACCTTAAACTAGATGGTTTTATTTTATCTTCAAAACAATACACTTTATGTATTTTCTAACCTCTTTGCCTGGCTCACAGAATCATAATGGATGGTATACGCCATTCCTTATGGCCCTAATCAAACAAATAATGTATAATGCAAAGGGAAAATTTCGCAAATGTTTGGTCAATTGGCGTTTATTGCAGCCTAAACTCATGAAGAAATCATTCTGGTCTTTAGTTTGTGTTTTGTCCAGGCAAAGAATAAAAGAAATCCACACTTGATACCTTAATGACGGTAAAGACACATACTGAAATTTGAGAGGTGTGTAATCTGCCTGTACCCACTATCCTTCAATGGTCCGTCTTGAACTTAGAATCTTGCCACTCAGTGCCTGCTCTACGATGTAGTTTTCTGCCAAACGTATAGCTTTCACACCACCACTGTTACGAAGTAGGGGGCACTGCGTTGGCAAGATGTTAACTCTCTCGTCTGGTATGCAGGAGGTCGTGAGTTCAATGCTGACCCCTGACACCTGCTGTATATTTGGAGTTTATGTGTCGTTCTCCCCGTGATCAAGTGGATTTTTCTCCGAGTCCGCCGATTTTTCCCTCCACATATATAAACATGCGGTTAGATTATTTGGCTACTGCTATAAATTTCCACACGGTTAGCCCCTCCGTTGAGCTATCATTTGTGACCATGTCGTTTCTGAAAACGAGCTATATAGCTCAGTGGGCCTTGCCTGGTAAAATAAAAAAGTTCATAGTTTAGTTTTAGTTCAAGTAGGATTGACGGTGGGGCTGTACATCCCTCGGGTATGCTTTTGTGTTGCGCTGCACATTGCGTGGAATAATGTCCGACGTTTCGCTCCACATGCGACTCGCTGCAAGCCGTGTTACCAGTGGTGCCAATTGTGGGGACTCAAACATTTACAACTATACAACATATTCTTGGTTCTTTCGGTAAAGTCACCACGTAGAAGGGAAACAATAAAATAATAAAAATAGAAAACAATACAATTCTCACGACGTTTCGACTGCAACACAAGCAATCATCGTCAGGTGTGAAAACCACAACAAGAAAATTTGAATGTATGGTATACGCCATTCAAATTTTCTTGCTGTGGTTTTCACACCTGATGATGATTGCTTGTGTTGCAGTCGAAACGTCGTGAGAATTTTATTGTTTCATATTTTTATTATTTTATTGTTTCCCTTCTACGTGACTTTACCGAGAGAACCAAGAATATGAATCCCTGCAGTCACGAAAGCTTTAAATCAAAATTTAACTATACAACAGTTCTGGCTTAGCTGTTTGAGCTACCTAGCTACCTCAAACTTGCACAGCTAATGTAAAACTGAATTTGTATAATGCAGCGATTAGTTACGTTACATGCCATTTGTTCAGAAGGAGGATCTGTTGAACTGTGCATTAGAAAATGTCTACTATGAAGACAGGTACTAGTGCCAATTACGTCGAAGGAGCATCCTGACCTTGTCTTTTTCAATGATGGTTCTCCAGCAGAGGGTCTATGGGGAGGGGTTATCTCATCCTTATTATTATTATTAAATATGGAAAGCTCCCCTTGCTGTCTAATGAATTATTTCACCTCTGCATTCCAAAACAGACTTCACCAGCTGCTAATTAGCTATACAAGTGAGACAGCCCGTGCCTTGGGCCCTTATATCTGCCACGGTTATTCCGATTTGTCCTCCTCGAGAATGTGTTTAAAAAATAAAAAAAGTTGTGCAGTCTGAGAAAGGTGGTTAACAAGCGTGACACGAGGGAATTAAGCTGACACTGTGCTATGATCAACAAGAGAAAAAGCGAAAGTGCCAATCTTTAGTGGCTACAGCAGCCAAGTGCTACACACAATGGCGCTTACGCCTGCCTTGTTTTGCCTACAACAACTGGAGGTTAGGGAGGGTTGGGCTGGGTAGCATTGACAATGAGTGCTGACCACAGGTGGACAATGGAACAAACGGCACTGGAGAAACACGGACACACACTCGATACAATACGCCATGTCAATTTGTCCTCGCGGCAAAAAGCGCTGACAGTAATGATTGCGCGTGGTTGCTATTAGGCAATAGCACGTGGGCCACAATGGCCGTTTCCCCCGCAGATTGTGGCCGAGCCATCGCTGCCTGCTGCTGGCTGATAGCCGGCGTGTTTGTTTAGTATTGCGTGCCCTGGCGGTGATACAGCGCTCATGGAAGAGGACGAGCGGGGGGGGGGGGGGGTCTGGCGCATGCACAGCTGACGGAGACATTCGCACATATCCATGGGAGGGAGCTGGGACCTAGCGAAGATTGCGGGATTACAGTTGGATGCATGTGTTGCGTTGGATCAAATGTCACACTTTCATGGATTCATCGTGAGGAAAGCGTACACCTCTTGTGCGGCAATGAATGCGTGCAGCAGTAAACGTGGCAGCCTCTCCTGGAAGCGAAAGATTAGTGGATTAAGTGCTATAATCGGGTGGATGAAAATGCAACATAGCACGTAATTAGTGAATGTGGCACACAGCAATCTATGTACACGTACACAGACAAATATGACATGTCAGGGACGTAGATGTGAGTGAGCATGTATTGAAGATGTCATGGCGGGTTGTGGGGGCGAGGCCAGAACCGTGCCCGGCCACCTTTGTTTCCGCACTGGTTGATGTCCACACACTGTGCCAAGTACTCATTTTGGGGCCGAGCCACCCTAGGGGAGATCGTGTATAGCTTCAGATGCAATAAGCAAAAGTGGCGTTTTGGTTCAGGAAGGGGGTCACGCGCGAGCTCATGCGACGGAATGTATGAAGCCTCGTCGGGGAGCGTAAACAATACTCCCTACCCCCTCCGCTTACCGTGGTCTTCTCCAGGCAGTGCAGCAGATGGTGATGCTGCATCTCGAAGGACGACGGGGATTTGACCACGAGCGCTTGACCTTCATCACAAGAACTCTGGAATAGCCAAGAGCGCGTGTGCAGTCATCACTTTAATAACGACACACCCCGAGGCCCGCCACCGCCACCGTGCCCGACCAGCCCACTTGGTTTAGGGCAGCCCGTTAAAACAGACTTAATTAAACAATGTAAGGATTTCCACACCCCGCCCCATCGCTCCCCCCAATGCTTCGTACGTCGCACCCACGCGCCGCCCGCTGTAATTAGATTGCCGCGGCTACATTACACCAGCAGCTTTGTGTGGGAGAAAAAAAAATGACACTGATTATGCTTTAACACACTGACGCTTGACTTTTTTTCTGTTTGGCTTTTCGTCCTGAAAAGCACCTGTTACCATATCGACGCGGCTCAATGTCTACGTTCTTTGAATTTTTCTGCAAGTGCAACAACAAAATACCGTATGGCGTGAATATCCTGACGTTGTTCTTTTTTTGCAATTAAGGAGTTGTTTGCTCATTTGCTTACAAATTGAGAGCGGCAGGGTGAAATGAATGAAGCTTGGGGCACGTGAAAATTTGGCAGATGCATTTGACCAAAGTGAAACCTTTTCATTCTTTCCCATTCAGATGACGAGTGTGTACGTCAACAGTTTATCTTCCTATTCCATTCCGAGGGCGTATACGTACGTCGTCAGGTCGGAAGACGTACCGGGGCACCCACAAGGCCATGCGGGAGGGCGTGCGGCACAATTTCGGCGCCAGTTATTGTAGAGTGCGGTCGTATCGCAACAGTTCTCTGCGGCGAGCACAATGTCTTTACAAAACAACGGCGCTACGCCCCTCTGAATAGAATTAACGCTGAACCGTTTGCACTGATCCCAGATTCAGCGGTGAGCTGGACCCCCACACCCTCCTGCAAATATCAGACCTCTCAGAACCGGGAAGCGGTTAAACAATGCACCCAGTTCCCCCTTTTCATCCCGTTCATGGCACCTTCAAGACACGTTTATGCGGAGCAAAGACGGTGGCGCATCTCAAGGGCCACCTGCGCGCGTGCGTGTGCGATGGCATTTGGTGTGCGTGGTGTGGTTGGCGTTGTACCGCATTGTTTGATAATTCTTGGCGTACTTGCTCAATGGCATCCATTAATTTGCCATTCTTTTTGCTCTGAAGGTAGGCGTGCGAGCTCCCACTCTTCGCCACACGGATCCGGGCCAATCTTGCTTTCTGCACAGGGGACAGGCGGTGGGTGGAAAGGAAATGGGTGCAAGACAAATGATCAGCATTATTAACCTTTTAGCTGTGGATACCAAGAGAAACTTTACTGAACATTCTGTCCGGCACATATCAACGATAATACAAGACAAAAACATACCCCTCTCTCTGGTTTCCATCCCCGCACCACCCCCCCCCCCCCCGAGTGATTACACATTGTATAGATTGTATATACACACACGTACGTACACAAAGACACACGGAAGATTGCACTCGAAGAGAGAACATGACGACTTTGACATCACGGCGCTCGTAACCGCGTGGTGCTCAATTGGAATACAAATGCAACGTAAAATAAAGGGAACAGTTAAAATTCCAACAATTACCTCGTTACGTCAGATTACAAGCACGCTCACTACTGCCATGTTGACACTTCCAGCTGCACTGCTTTTGATGTGTGGAGATCGGTGCACGTGGCACCGGTTACAGCTCAGTTGTTGCTGCTGGTGATTTATTTCGTTGTCATTCATTTTATGCACCTTTCATGACACGCGGTGTATTTTGCTCGTGGTTTGCGCAGCATTTCCACGACCCGTAACAAAAACAACGGCGAACATTACGAGCAACAATAAGACACCTCAATAAGACACGCGTCCTTCTTGATTTGATGTACAGTGCCAAATGGTGGCGATGGCAGTTTGCATGCCACATTCACCGCAACATGTTCGTCCACGGAATCATAATCGAATTCAAACATTTATTCGTAAGTATTTTATTTATAGAACGAATTATATTTCCAATTCCACTCTTGCAAAGCCAACACGCATTTTTATTCGTCCACACACGGTCGACCTCACTCAACGGAAGAGGCAAAGCACAACAAGGGGCATGGTTTTGTTTTAACATCAAAGTAATATTAATCTATGGCAGTGCATGTTGCGGTAGAGTTAGCGTTATCGTACTGGACTGTTAATCAGGAGGTTGCTTCGTCAATCTCCCAGCACCCAATGAAACAACGGCCTTCGTTTTTATAAATCCATCACCCCCCCCCACCCATCCCACCCACCTAGCAGGATCATCAACGAAGGCCGCCAGTTTGTTTGGCCCGATTCATCGTGCAGTGTGCTAAACCACTACACCACCATTCCTCCACACACACAACCTAAGAATGTTACCACAACGTGACTCGTACTCATCAAGTTAATGCACAGACCACTTAAATGTGTACGTTTTAGCATTACTAAAAAAGGGTTACGTGCATGTTATTGATACTCATTAACGGTCAACGTTGCTTACTGATGCCCTGCCTCGCTCATGCCATGTCCCCCCTCCTTCCCTTAATCTTCCTCGTGTTCTCCTGTCTCGGTCGCGTTCTCGCCCCTATTCTGATGCTAAAATGCGGTGCGCAATGTTCAGCGTTTTGAGACGCAATTTTCATGAACCCCCCCGCTACATTAAATAAAATAATTATTATCATTACATGAATAAATTGATTCACTGCAAAGCCATCGTGATCTAATTTGGCATGTGACCATTATAAACACAATGGATAATTGCAAGTCATTCCTGACTTGCATTAATCTAACCATATACTGCACGTACAGTGAAGGAAAAAAGTATTTGATCCCCTGCTGATTTTGTACGTTTGCCCACTGACAAAGAAATGATCAGTCTATAATTTTAATGGTAGGTTTATTTTAACAGTGAGAGACAGAATAACAACAAAAATCCAGAAAAAACGCATGTCAAAAATGTAAAAAATTGATTTGCATTTTAATGAAGAAAATAATTATTTGACCCCCTCTCAATCAGAAAGATTTCTGGCTCCCAGGTGTCTTTTATACAGGTAACGAGCTGAGATTAGGAGCACACTCTTAAAGGGAGTGTTCCTAATCTCAGCTTGTTACCTGTATAAAAGACACCTGTTCACAGAAGCTATCAATCAATCAGATTCCAAACTCTCCACCATGGCCAAGACCAAAGAGCTCTGCACGGATGTCAGGGACAATATTGTAGACCTACACAAGGCTGGAATGGGCTACAAGACCATTGCCAAGCAGCTTGGTGAGAAGCTGACAACAGTTGGTGCGAATATTCGCAAATGGAAGAAACACAAAAGAACTGTCAATCTCCCTCGGCCTGGGGCTCCATGCAAGATCTCACCTTGTGGAGTTGCAATGATCATGAGAACGGTGAGGAATCAGCCCAGAACTACACGGGAGGATCTTGTCAATGATCTCAAGGCAGCTGGGACCAGAGTCACCAAGAAAACAATTGATAACACACTACGCCGTGAAGGACTGAAATCCTGCAGCACCCGCAAGGTCCCCCTGCTCAAGAAAGCACATATACATGACCGTCTGAAGTTTGCCAATGAACATCTGAATGACTCAGAGGACAACTGGGTGAAAGTGTTGTGGTCAGATGAGACCAAAATGGAGCTCTTTGGCATCAACTCAACTCGCCGTGTTTGGAGGAGGAAGAATGCTGCCTATGACCCCAAGAACACCATCCCCACCGTCAAACATGGAGGTGGAAACATTATGCTTTGGGGGTGTTTTTCTGCTAAGGGGACAGGACAACTTCACCGCATCAAAGGGACGATGGACGGGGCCATGTACCGTCAAATCTTGGGTGAGAAACTCCTTCCCTCAGCCAGGGTATTGCAAATGGGTCGCGGATGGGTATTCCAGCATGGCAATGACCCAAAACACACGGCCAAGGCAACAAAGGAGTGGCTCAAGAAGAAGCACATTAAGGTCCTGGAGTGGCCTAGCCAGTCTCCAGACCTTTATCCCATAGAAAATCTGTGGAGGGAGCTGAAGGTTCGAGTTGCCAAACGTCAGCCTCGAAACCTTAATGACTTGGAGAAGATCTGCAAAGAGGAGTGGGACAAAATCCCTCCTGAGATGTGTGCAAACCTGGTGGCCAACTACAAGAAACGTCTGACCTCTGTGATTGCCAACAAGGGTTTTGCCACCAAGTACTAAGTCATGTTTTGCAGAGGGGTCAAATACTTATTTCCCTCATTAAAATGCAAATAAATTTATAACATTTTTGACATGCGTTTTTCTGGATTTTTTTGTTGTTATTCTGTCTTTCACTGTTCAAATAAACCTACCATTAAAATTATAGACTGATCATTTCTTTGTCAGTGGGCAAACCTACAAAATCAGCAGGGGATCAAATACTTTTTTCCCTCACTGTATCTTCAGTCTACGGGGATGCTGCCGTGGGATAACAGTCGTCACACTGGACTTGCAAATCCAGATGTTGCTGCATTGTTATTATTATGATTATTATTCGCTTTTATCATAGTTCTTCATTTTATTGGAATTTCGAGTGTAGTCATTCATATTGTTACATCAGCTTTCTATTTCACTTAGATCAGTGTTCTTTACTAATTTTCAAAGGCGGCCAACTTTCGCCGATGAGACATCATCAGCGTGAGGCCCGCCACACATTTGAAACCATTGGGGGTTTGACAGCAGCACGATTATGATGGGCAGTATTTTCACTCTTTGTGTATTGTCGGGTGGCCGCAGCACTAAAGGCCCCCAGGGGCTGCCAGTGGCCTGAAGGCCTTGCAATGAAGAACACTGCCTTAGGTTGTACCTATACTAGTACAGCGCTTTGAGATACTGCAATATGAAGGACGCTTTTATAAAACAGAGGTTATTATTATTGTTCCCCCATTGAGGCAGTTCGAATCCATTTCGTTTTTTTCAAATATCGAACCCCAATTCTCTCCGACCAGCAGTATCCGGTCCGTGGGTTCACCACGGTCAGTCGATTGGCAGGTCGGAGTGGTGGTGGGATAATGTGTGGGTAACTCCCGTCTTGTTTCAAGATATCTGACCGGCATGGAAGAGAAGGCCAAATACCCTCGAGAGGAGGCTCTCTAGAGCTTCTCCCGAGTCGAAGCAGTTCCATCAGCATTGACGTAAGCAAGCAATTGCAGGACTGCAGCCTGAAATATGTAGCATTTTGTTTTAATGCAAGAGGTCACAGGGTGCTGAATATTATAGATTTCTGCTTCCAATAAAATCTTTACGTACCAAGGGAACCTTGACACGCACCGAGGCAGTAGGTTACGATGACGCACGCACTGCTGCCCTTCCTGGGTTATGCCCCAGATACTGCACGCGTGCAGGAGAAACGCACGTGGCAGAAAGTGCTAATTACTGAGGCCGCAGTAACGCAAGAGGGAGTAGCGGAGCCACCGATGGCTGTCTGCCCCGTTACAGTGATGACGCATTGCACCAGGCATCGCTTCAGGCACAGCAGACACACGTGAAGACCTTAATTGGTAGAGCTACAGATGTTAATTGCTATGGTTGGAAATCCAGCCACTTTTTTGTCAAACTTATTTATTCAGGAAAGCCTCAAGACTCTTTTTCAGGCTGATCCTGCCAAGGTTTTTCAGTCAGGGGAAATGTTGCTCTGCATAATCCCAAATTAGTCATTTGAAGGTCATTTTGGATTCTTGGTATGTATGCCTTATAGCCTTCACAGATGGTTGGGGCAAGTGCTCTGAGAGAACATCTATGAAGGCCAGCATTGCAGATGAGGGGGTGGGTGGCCGGCACCAAGCCTGGCCATCTTTGTCTCCCTCGTGGTGATGTTAAACCCAGAATGGATTCTAGGCAGGCCAGCCTGATGTTTCAAGCCAGCAGAGATGTTGCTTTCGAGGGGATCCATGTTTCGTGAGCATAGAGTGACAGACCAGGTGTCCACACAGCGTTACGCAGCTGATGAAAAGATGATGCTCCACCGATTCGGAGTGAGATCTCTGTTGCCAAACCGGAGCTGGTCGCAAACACGCTACCCAAGTATGGGAACTTCTCCACTATCTTCACAACTGCCCCATCAGCACTCATGGGGAGTGGAGGGTGAGGTGTTTGATGACACAACATACTCAGGCAGGTGCTTAGTTTTGGTTAGTGGCAAACTCCAGATTCAGCAGCAGACTCTTTGTCGGAGTGAGCAGCAATTACAAAATATGGTTACTA